TTCTCTTTTTTTCAGGGAATGCACTTTCTCTGTTCAACAGTCTAGTAACAGACCAATATATAGGTTACGCGCTCCAAATGATTCTGGGACTATACAATCTTTCTAGCCATGTAAAACAAGTTTGTTATCTAAGCCCAGGCTTCCACACTCCTTGCTACTTGATCTTTGCTGAGCAATTGAATTCATAACACCAAGGTTCCCTACACACAGAGTGAATTAGGTTTGGTACTTAGTCTGGGAGTCACAAAAGCTCATGTGCTAATCACTGGGGTATTTAAGTTACTCAGTAAGTTATGCCAAAAAGGAGGGATGTCACAAGCTACACTCCTCTATCAAGCCATGAATTGGAGCCTGGAGTTGCTGTGTGCACTTAAGTGTCTCTGTGATGCAAGATATTGACCTCTCATTTGCAGGATCATACCTAATAATAGTATAGTCTTCCTATGCTGTTATGGAGTCATGAGAGCTCTCACTTGAATTATCTCTGTGGGTTCTACATACTAGGCAGGTGTCTTCAATATCAGCTTGTTGGATGAAAGTACTCTGTGCCCTTTCTGTTGAAGCTGGGCTCCTGCTTTTGAGGCAAGTGCTTCAAACCTTCAGCTGCTATGTAAGAAGCGAATACCATCCACTGCCATAGATTTTCACACAACTTAAAGAAAGCTGAATGAGTTAAATTTGGTCAAAGTATGGCTAGAAATCTAGGCTCCTCTGAGGTCTCAGACATTAGTGTATCTTTATGAACTGTTAATGAGAGTTGTCTTGTCTAGGCAGCCACCTCAGTAAAGAGAGAGATGCCTCTGAGTTTCCTCAGTAATACATCTATAATTACCAGAGAGGCTTTACTCTGAAACCTAAGTGCGTTAGGCAGAGTTTTCCTCAGTTGCTTCCCTGATTTTAGTAGCTTAAATTTTATCTATGTTGTATTTTGGGTTTGAAGGAAATCTGCCCATGTTCCATCAAAGGCCCATGTTCCAACTAGTACATAGTGCCTCAGGGAAGATAGTTCTCAGAGCCCTAGGCAGAACTGAGATTTTTTTGCATCAGTAGTGGAGCTCTGGCTCTGCTCCATGGTTCTACAGGAAGGAGAACAGTGAATGGGGGAGAAGGGCCAGAGCATGTGGGAGGTTGAGCTACAGAGAGGATGTTGATCTACAGAGAACTAGGTTTACTGATCTTGCTGTCACAAGCAATTGCTGAGGTGGTGGAGCCTCTTCCACCAGTGAAGAGTACTGTCCAATGTATTCCCACTTGTCCTTCTGCAGCAACAGCATGTAGCTTGGGTTTCCAGGGCTCTGCTGTTGACAAAGTATATATAGAGGTAATAGGTGGTCTTGTAGTTCCTGCCAGTCTGTTGACCTAAACAAATGCTTACTTGGCTTTTACAAAAACAAAGCCTGCCTTTGACATAGTAACACATTTAATGATCTGAAAATTAAAATGTGTCCAAAATGTGATGTTTTGCTCACTCTTTACAAGTATGCCTTGGAATTAGGACCAATTTTAAAAAATGCTGAAGCACTTGCTTTATGAAAGTGACATTTGAGCAAAGCTTTTGTTTTACCATGTGTGTGTAGTGATTCTGTTAAATTCTTATATGGAAAATAATGGATAAAATTTATTTCTTTGAAAATTTTCACAAGTCCTGTTTTGACACATCTGAAACACAGGATTTCAACTTTTCACTTTGAAACTAATTTTTGCTTAGAAATTTATCTTCACATACCAAATGTATTTAAAGTCCCATTGATGTCTGTATTTAAACATCAGATCATGAAGACAACTGGAAAAGAGTTCTTCTTGGGAAAAGATTTCAAAATTTTACTTCACTGTATCAATTCAGGACAACAGGAAGTTTGAAATCTTGCAATATTTCCCAGGCTGGCAAATATAGCTTACTCTTTGCCTGATTTTATACTGCAAAATTAAGCAAAACCCATAAAGTTTGGTCCAGTATTTTATATATTTAAGCCATTTGAAATGAAGCCAAAATTTAGTAAAATGTACGGCTACTGTGCAGGAGGAAACTGTTCGAAAAATATAAACCAAATATTCTTCTCTTTCATTCTCCATCAGCATTAGAGGTCTAAACATGGTCAAAGAATGAACCAAGCAAAAAAAATCAAGAAATCGGCCTTTAGGCCTGATCTTAACAAATTGATTGATGCCTCATAGAGAATAAATCACATTACGTACTGAAAGTGAAGTTGATATTTTGGAACTGATTCCACTGTCTAGCATTACAAAGAGCATAAAACATCTTTTACCTTGTTTGTGCTTCAGCAGTTATTTTTTTAGTAATTTCTTTCCTGTTCTTAAAAGCAGTTGCATTTAAATGGACATGCTTTTAGCTAAGCGAGATAGGTTTTGCATCCTGTTTCTTCTTGGATTTCTGTGAGCAGAAAGTGAGTATCTAGTGCAGGTGAGTATCAAGTGACTTGGGACTATCCCTTTTCTATGTCTCTTGTATCTCCTGAGTTTTGGGTGTCATTTGCCCTTTTTTGTTCCAATTCAAGATTTAGCATCAACAGTGATAGACAGCAATTTTTTTCTTACTTCAGTGCATGTGTAATTTTTTTTTTTAATGTTTCACCTGTTCTGGCTTTATTGTAATAACTAACAGATACTGTTTACATGTTTGTTTCTTTTTTTTCCTCTTCAGTGGTTTATAATACCACTATAATACTAAGAATAATTGATGAGAAATTACTGGTAGCTGAACAAGACAGATGCTTGAAGTTCATTATCTTTGTAATCTTTTGCTTTTAAAACATAATTTTACATCATAGTGTTTGTTCATTTATAATGGAAATTTCAGTGAATTTCATCATGGTCTTTTTTTGGTTTTCCACAGTAATTTAAAAAATTGATACCCCTATGTATTGAGAGATAGGGTTCACAAGGTCACTTTTCTTGTCTAACACCTTTGAAATCCTCTCTTCTCCTTCTTTCCCTTCCCTAAGCTTTTGACTAAATCTGAGAGATGACACCTCGGTCTCTAAGGCAATTAAGGCTGCTTTTGAACCTGCATGTTTGAGCCCTGATCCAAATGAATGCTAAATACAAAGCCCATCCCTATAGCTGAGGCCAGTGGAAAAGGCATTAATTATTCCTGTCTTACCTGAAAGGCTCTGTTAAACTGTGAAGACAGATCACCACAGATATGTCTTTTTTCCTTCAAAACAGGGCCTTCTTATAGAATCATTTACCATCTATGGAACTTACCCAGACCATGAGAAGCCAGGGTTCAGATCTCTGCTTACTGTCCTTCCTCAAACATGCATCCTTCACCTCTTCATAGAGGGTCTGTTGCTGAAGTTTTGTCTTCAGTGTCTCCTCTGTTGTAGATTCAGATGCTGGTTTTATATGTTGTATTCTGAGGTGCCCAGCTTGCCTTTGCATTGTGCAGGGAGTCTGTGTTCCTCTGGACTGTGGTAGGACAGCCAAAAAAGTAGGAAGATGCTTAGACTCATGGTGTCTGTGTCCTTTTGTAGACCTGAAATATCAGTAGAAGTGCATGAAACAGAAGTTCTCAACTTGTGGCTTGGTCTACAGTCCCTGGGCACGGAGGCTTCCTTTCCTCCATGAAACAGCTTTTGTTTTCTTTGTTTTCTGGTTTGTTTTTGGTTTTGCTGTTGTTTTTTAAAACTGTTGTCACTAGCTTATTGCTCTGTTGTAAATATAATTGCTCTCTGGAAGCAGTGGGAAACAGCTGAAAAAATTTAACAGGAGCTTATAACTGGGAGTGTTTTACTACTTCTTAAGAGAGGGAGACATCGTGATTTAGATATGGTATGAATAGCTGAGATAAGTGATGTTTCTCATCTGAAGTACCTGCACAGCTACAAGAATTTTGTTAACTCGTGCTATAAAGAAACCTTGCCACTAGCAGTCAGGGAAAGTTTGACAAAAGTTATATTTACTGAAGATAGAGAGTATAAATGTCACAGAGCGTGCTTTAAGTTTGCTGTTGCTGCTGCATAAAAACATTTACATTCAAGATCTGTTCTATTAACTGCAGTTAGGATGATCCTTGAAAGTATATTTGTTAGCATAACTCTGTGGTGTGCTCTATGTCAGGTTTATTGATGATGAAGAAAATGCCCTTGATATAGTATTTGTTCCAATTTTTTTAGGTATCAAATCAGTTTGGAACCTTATGTTCTGGATTTGACATAAATATATCTGCAGATATTATAGAAATGATCCTGAACTTATAGTTCCCAGGAGTTGTTTGTGATGCAGCTTATTCTGCAAACAATATTTGGCTATGAAGCATAATTTATTTGCTATAGCAAAGACTTCCATGCATCTTTCACTGCATTATGCTATTCACTGATAGTGTGAAACATGTTATTGATTGCTACAAGGTATTCTGGTGGAGTACTGTGAAAGGACTGAAGTTTACAGATTTATTATAGTATCAAACGGTACATTTATTCTTGGCATAATATCTACTAATCGTATATTATTTAGAAGACAAACATTAGTTTATGAGTGTGAAACAAGATATTGCTTTAGAAGAATGCATATAAATCTTTCTATAGAAGACACTTGCTATTGGTGTAAAAGGGATTTATTTTCATGCATTCTGGGGAAATTATATTTATCAACGATTATTAAGGTTGAAAAACTAACTCTTCAAACTGGTAGGAAATACCAGATTGCATATATACTTCCAAAGACTTTCAATCTGTGCAATATGTTTCAGTAAACTGTGGTAGAATATACCGATAAATTGTAGATAATATTCTGTTTGGAATTCCTTTATTGAGATGGCAAAATAAGACATGTTCCAATAAAAAAAATATTTCAAATTTTAAAATGGATTTACCACATATTAAAATGTTGTTTGGATTGTGCATATCCTGGGGTGACCTTCAGAGCCATTTCAGTGGTTGCAAAAGCTGTCGTGGGTCTAGAGATCATGTTAAAATTAATGATATTCAATAAAACTTTGTTAACCATTTTTTTCATACTTTCCCTTTATTCTTCAATAGAGAAAAAGTGAACTGTTCAGTGTAGGAAGAGGAAACTTGCTTTCTTGGATCTACTGAAAATCTACTGGAAGGAACAAGCCAATTCTGAAGACTATTGTTGAGGAGATAAATTTCCCATCACTCTAGTCCAAAACTGTATTACACAAAGACTCTTTGCAAACTGAATATCTTTATATGTGTGTTTTTTCACCTGTAATACCACACTGAGACTTACTAATTTCTTTTTCAGTAATGAAAATAAAAATTTGATCAGATTAAAAGAAAAGATTATTGAAATGTAAAAAAATATTAATAAGAAATAATTTTCAGGCATAAAGTAACTGAAAAAAAAGAATGGAGACCAGAACACCTTCTGTGCATGAGAATATGTGTACCTACCTATCTTTACTGCCCACCAGAAAAATGAAGAAAATTAACTCCACATCCTGGAGATCTTATAATATGCCCTCTAGAAATAGTGATTTATGGATAAAGTAGTAAAAAAAATTAATATATACAACAATAAGGCCTTTTCCTGTTGTGACATTTCATGGTAAGTTTGAAACTGGCTTTTACAATTATATGCTTATGAAGAGCACAGCATTCTCATACAAATATATACCCTTTATGTAACTAAAGTAGTAAAACTTATCATCTAGTATTTTAAGGATTTAGCATAAAGTGTTTTGAAGTCTCAGCATATTATTACTGGAAATTATTTTTGGCTTCACAAGGTTTTCTTTAAAGCTTGTTAAAATGAAATCCTCTTTTCCTTCATGTCTAAAAATAAGTATAGGTAAACTCTGATTTCTGAAGGTTGTGACAGATGTCTGAAATCTCCATAAAACCAGGGTTAGTTCTAAGAAATTTCAGACCTGATACAATTTTTTTGGGTACAAGGATTGCTATGAATTTTGAATTCCAAAGACATTCAGGGCTTAGCTGCATTTCCTTCCCCTACATGAATAGTAGTGTTTATTCTTTATAAGGTGAAATTATTGTGCTTTGTCCAGTGGGCTTTGCTCTCACAATAACTATTATAAAGAAGACCCAGGCATTTCCATCCCCTCAGCAGGCATACAGTGCCTGAATAACAGCAAAACGTATGTGGCTTTGCTGCATGTAGTAGTTAGGGAATAGTCAACAGAAAGCTCATGCAGAGATGGAAGTGAGGGTCATGGGTACTTAGAATGGTGCTCTTAAGGTCTTCATTTATCGTTGCAGAGGGAATGAGGGCTTTAGGGACTGGGAGAAAATGTTGCGAATGCAGATCTACCAGTTAACCTCCTGACAGTGAGTGAGTATATAGGGAGCAGTTGCTATGCAGGATTTAATCATAAGCCTCCAAAAGAGTGTAGCAGGCATGTTGAAAGGAGACTGAAATTTTTGGAAGAATTCAGTCCAACATAAGTGGTTACAGTTGATTATAAAAGGAACAACATCTGACATGTTTGCCTGACTTCTTCAGTGAATTACTGAATCAATAGATAAAGATGTGGCCATACATGTTATTTAACTGCATTTCTGATAAGCATTTGGTGGTGTATCAGAAATAAGCTGATCTGTAATATCACAACGTATAGCTTGCTTGCTTGAGTTGAAATGAAACAATTTACATTGGACAAGTCAGTCTCAAACACAAGATAGTATAAGAGGCAAGAAATTTTGGCAAATATGATTCAGGTTATGGTAGTCTACATTATTATAAAGGTCATAAAGTATACATATATAAACACACTTTGAAAAAAATCTGATCTGAAAAATGTTTAAATACCTGGATAAACAATTTGATAGAATGAGTATGTGCGGGGTGTCAGTTATTAATGGAGTATACATATAATGGTGATCAGGAAAAATCTGAATTGAATACATTTTGGTGCATACATCCATGTTTAATCAATGTATTTGATTAAGCATCATATACTGGCTTGTGGGGTAAAACTGTGATGTTAATGAGATCAGTGATACCAAGACTGAGCTTCAGACACAAAACCACCTACCTGTACTGGTAAACTGTGACTGGGAAAGAACACTTCTAAATTTCTGAATGACTACTATGTGGGCAAAAGTGCTCCTTGATCACTCAGGAGCAAGGCTAATTGGTGCCCAAAGTGCAGATGAGATTTCTAGGATATGAAATTTTGGGTTGTAGATTTCTCTGTGTTTGAACAGAGGCAGCAGAAATTAAAGATGTCTGGAAGGTAACAAAACACAGGTCAAAATGAATTAGGACATGATATGTAAGTTTTGTAAAAAGAAGATACGAGGAGCTTAAGCAATGGCAGGGAGGAAGGAATCAGCAGTTGATGACTAATGCTTTGAAGTCAGATATGAAAATCATTTGGTAGGGAATAAAAACTGTTCTGGTATACCAAATGTGAACGATGTTGTTCCCAATGTTGATACTGTTTATCAGTACAGATCAAAGAGGTAAATTAAAATAGGATTATCACAGAGGAGGCTTAGAGATTTCTTGAACATTCTGAGTTTCCTGGTTAAGCAAAGAAACGGGAAAAAGAGAATTGGGTAGGACAACATTTGGAAAACCGTCTTGCTATTACATGTCAAGGGATTCAGCTATTGGCGCTTGAGAAATTCTGAAAGTTCTAGGAATCCCATAAAGCACATTTTGATACCACATCTCAAATGATTTTTCTGGGACTTGATCAGTCAAGAGATATTATAAGCTTCTTCTCAGTAGTGACACCTTTTATGCTGCTGCAGAATATAGTGCCAGAAAAAATTAGTGGATTGTCTAGCTTTGTTTTTGACACCTGTACCTGTTGTTGGTGCCAGGTATTTGTGTTATCTAGGGCTCCTTTATCTCCTGGAGAAGGAAGAGCAAGGGATTGCATACATGTTCCTTCAGAGAATCTAAAGCTGTCAGCGTATTAAACATAGCCAGAAAAAAACATGGATCCCTAGAGAAAACAGGGATAATTAATATTTATTTATACTAAGTGTGTGTTTTTAAAATTAGCATCTCTGCATAGAAGGTGAAGAAGCATTTTCACAGTGGAATTTTTCTGAGCATTATATTCTCTCTGTGCAGCAGAAAGAATACCTGTTCTTTGTGTCCAAGTTGTATCAAGAGTCCTGTAGGTATAAATATGTCTAGTGTTCAAGATGAGAGAAAGGGATACTAAAATGATGTATGAAATGTCTGAGATACTTGGAAATAAATTAAATTTAATTCCCAGAACCAATAACCTGTGTAGTAATGCAAAAAGTAAAACAAATCCATTTCACTAAATATTGGTACTGTGAAGATTGCTTGTGAAGTGCTTTTTACAAATGTAATGAAAAATAGGAAGGCACATCAACAGCTCCCTCTGAAAGGTTTATTCCTGCTAAGGAATGAGCAGAAGCAGAATAGGTAGAAGAAGCAGAACAGAAACATTTAATTGTAGATACTTGGTTTGGTGTATGTGGACTGTGCAGATAATGCCCTAAATGGCAGAGCAAGATACTGTGCGGGAAGGAGGAGGAGTAGTGGAAGTACTGCTTTGATGTTCAAGTCTTAATCTGGAATTGTGTTTGATGTGATGCTTGGAGTGGCAAGACTAAGCCTGTGATTTGCGGAATTGTAAAATCTATACTGTTACTGGACTGTAATCCAAAAAGAAGCCAAACAGGTGTTTTTCCTCTCAGCTATACATTAAAATAGTTTATTTACATGTTGTGTTCCTCACTTAAACTAGTGAGAGTTACAGGAAACCTGGCTCCTAGAAGAGGAGTTTGCCTTTGGACACCATTTTTGAATTTAATTCCAGATCAGATACCTGAAAGTAAGTGTCTGCATGATAGATGAGAGTCTAAGTTCCCAGTAGAATCAACAGGGCTTGATTCAGTTGCTTAAACATAGCTATCTAGTGCCATTTGAAACTCAGACTCCCCTGCTGCAAGCTGTTGGTCCAGAAAAGCTTGGATTTCCTATATGTCTTCTGTCACATTTACCAGATTTGTGCATCTGGATAGCCAAAAGCACCAGTTGTAGGCAACTGAATTGAGCCTGCAATAAGTAGGGTCACTGGACCCTTAAAGATGCATTGAGCTTATTGGCAAGAAGATACATGGTCTCCCCTGCCTATTTTCACTAGCTCTCCATTGATTACAACAGAAGCCTGGATTCTGAGGTTGCATGTAGACACCCAAACCCATGCATTTTAATCCCATGCTGAATCCTACCCTATGCGACTGGAACAGTGCTTAGGGGCTCAATTCACTTACCCACACCAAGGTGCCTGGTGCCAGTGGAGACACTGTAGGCACCTGTGATATCAGCGTGGCTTTGGCAGAGGTGGCACAGGACCCACAGTACACCCGTGTCCTCCTAGAGTGGCAGCTGGATGCAAAGCAGGCAGTCCTAGGCTGTTCCAATGGCAGTAAATACCTGTTTCTAGGCAAGTGAATATTGTTTTATCTGTGAAGATCAAAACAACATGTTAGCAAGTACCTTAAAAATGCTCTCTGTTAGGGAACTATACAGTTCCCCCCTCTTTCACCTGTTCCAGACCTGAGCCACATTATTAGAACGTTCCAATTCACCTCTTTAGAAGGGTCAGTTTTGCTGAAAGATTTAGCTGACTATCAAATCTAATTTTAAGGAAGAAAATTAATATAATTGTATGAGTACTTTCTAAAGACACAGTTTAAGTCCATACAGGAATGGACTCTGAAGACAATTGCTATAACAGGATTCAGCTCTAGATGAAGTCTGTAACCAGAACAGTGGTTCAGTCTGTATCAAGGTTAGAGTTAGGTTTGGATCAGCAACACCCACCTGCTGCAAGGGATGCAGAATCAGAATTTTTTAAATAGTGGAAGCACTGAGAAAGCAGCTGTTCTTATGGGATTTTTCTATTCTGTGCTTAAATCTTGTCAAAAACATGGTTTTACTTTACTGAGGTGCTAAATAGAAGGAAAAAGAATTCACCTCCAAGTCGGCACTTGGCTTAGGACCCTAGAGTGGGTTCAGATCTAGGCATTCAAAACTAGTCACCTTGCAATGCACTGGGATGTGGACACATTTAAAACTCTGGAGCTGGCCAATTCCTAACTCTATGTCATTTTATAACTGAATAGCATTTGTAAGTATGTTTTATAACAATAAAGGATAATGCTGAATTTTTAAAAAATGTTATTGCTGGTGCTGAGGTTGTAGCTCATGATTATGACATCATTACATTCAGCACTCAAACTTTGCTCGGTGTGTGATAAATAGAGAAGTTTGAAACTGTGTCTTAGT